CCACTCCCTATGTAGATAAAAACGTCTCATTCTTAGGTAACTTTTCAGGTGATTATACACTAATGAAAACATACCTATGAAGATTATATCCTACTCAATGTTACACACTGGACCTTTAAGCTGCATGAAGGCAGCATCAGTAGCAACTGAGGATGACATGTCTAATGTTAAGTCAATGATGTTTAACCAAGTTGTCTTTTAAAAAAAGCAACCTGAATTGAAAAACCACGTACAATTTACTATCTTTTATCATCAAAGTGCTTTTTACTCCAGTTTGTCTGACCTAAGTTTATATCTGTCTAATGAACTGGCTCTTAAACATTTCCTGCTTGTAAACACTGTTTCAGAAATAGGGCATTTTGCCAAAGTCTCACTCCAACCAAGAATGCTAACATTTGTGCTCTAGCCATCAGTGCCTTTCATTACGTCATGAGTGAACATTGTAATTTCCTCTTTGTTTTTATATATATGTAAAAAGCTGAAGACTGAACTATGTAATAAAACATTTAAATAACTGTATTGACTGTATTTTCTATCGGAATGTAATAAATACAAATTAGTCCAGTACACTATACTACTACACACAACCATTCATGGCTAGTGCACAGTTCACCAGAGGGTGCTAGAGTGCCATAAACACCACATCACTACAGATAGCCGTTACAGAGGTACAGTACTTCTGATGGCAACTCTGACTGTCCAACTGTAGTAAAAGTGTTAAGTGGAGACCCTCTGGGGACAGAATAGTTACAGAGAAACTGTGACTTAATTTCCATGACTTCACTGTCTAGAGCTTCCATTTTTCTAAATAAAGCCAATCATTGTTTTCTGTCTAGTTATGTATGATACAGACAATATCATTAGGATAATGTGCTCTGTAATTGTAAAAATGTGTAATTAAATTGTCATCCTCTTTTTTGTAATGTCTGGTTGATAAAGACTTGTAGTAATGAAACATTCCTGACATTGCAAGTATTTAGACAAACCTGGGCTGAACTCTAATTATTATGAAACTAAGAATTTTGGAGGGTATTTGAAATGTATGAAATGTATTAGTTTCAGTGAGTTTGATTTTTGATTTTTTAAATCAGCTACAATTTAATTGTCCTACTATGGACTAGGGTGGATGATAATTATTATCATGTACTTACGTTCAGTTTAATCATTATGGCTGTGTAGCCACATTTTGGTACCAATACCACTGATCTTCTTTCCATATCAAATATATATATTTTTTTAAACAAGATGTTTTAGCATTGATTAAATCAGCTTACTGATGAATGATAATGTAAATAAGAATACTACTGAAACAATTAGTTAAATCAATTAGATGACTGATCTGAAGTTTATTGCCAAATTATCAAGAAAAACACCAAACATTCTGTAGTTTGGGATTCTTAAATGTGACTATTTCAACATCTTTGGGTTCTGACGTCTCTAAGTTGTGTTTCACGGTTGTAGACTTAATTATTATTACAAAGAAATATTAAGATTATTCAATAATGAAAATAATTGTTAGCT